TCTACTGAGCATACACGATGGCTTCTAATAGCACCCCTTCAATCTCGCACCCCTCACCTTTGTTCGTCGATTCGGAAGCTGCATTCAACAAGCGCAAGGTGCAATCCATGGTAGGAGCAGCATGGAGAATGGAAACTGCCGTCGGCAAGGAGAGGATTGGCGAACTCAGTGAGGAGGAGTTAAATGTGCGACTAAAGTTGCTAGCGGATCTGGTCGCTTCGTTCAACGAGCACCATAATGCCCTGGAGAGGATTGATCTCGATGAGATTGGCAGTCCCTTGAGGGAGGAGTTTGACGAATGCGTGGTCATGCTGGAAATTCGCATGAAGCGAACAAGCGGCAGCCCACAATGCTCCCATGCTCAACAATGCGGACGGATCATGTTGGAGAGGCCCCAGCTACAGTCATAGTGCAGAGTCGGCCTCGCCTGCCGGAATTAAAGCTTCCCGAATTCAGCGGGGGCTACGCGCAATATGATGCGTTTTGGGGCATGTTTGCTTCCATAATTGACAAGGATTCTGACCTAACGAATGTGGAGAAGCTGCAGAACCTACGATCCTGCCTGAAAGGACCTGCTCTAGACGCAATCTCTTCGCTAGAATTCAGCCACGCCAGCTATCCCATCGCCCTAGACCTTCTTAATAAACGATTCAATAACAAGCGTTTAATATTTCAGGCACATGTCACCGACATTTTGGGTGTGCAGCGTATTGAGACCTCGTCTGTGTCCCAACTCCGGTCATTGTCAGATACTGTGAATGCCAATCTGAGCGCCTTGCAGAGTGTGGGGACCAAAGGACCAGATAGCTGACTGCATTCTGATACATATCCTGCTACAGAAAGTGGACAGCGCCACACAAGCCAAGTGGGAGGAATGCTCGTCAATGGATAGCATACCCACAAGCCAGCAATTTACCGCTTTTCTGGAGCAGAGATGCCAGAGGTTGGAGACTCAGGAGCACGCTAAGGACATGTACACTAATAGCAATCGGAAACACTGCCTAGTTGCAACTACCTTCAAGCCGATTGCCTGCGCGCTCTGCGGCGACACCGGACATTCGATATATCGATGTTCTCAATTCAGCAACCTTTCTCCTCGACTTCGGCTCCAGGAAGCAAATAAGCTATCCCTATGCACCAACTGCCTCCGATCAGGCCATCAGCTAGGTGAATGTCGTTCACGATCCTGCCGAGTATGTGGTGCTAAGCATCACACACTACTTCATTTCGAGTCTTCGTCCTACACTTCTCAAGCCATTCTGCCTCAACTCGTCAAATCAACATCGACTCTACGAATTCCCGCGATACCCTCTGTCGCTGAACATGCCGTAACATCGTCAGCCACGTCGCTCTTGGCCCAAACTCATCGACGGGACGCTGTGATTTTGCCCACTGCCATAATCAGCGTAAGGAGTCGCTCCGGGATGTTGATTCCTTGCCGTGCCCTGCTCGATTCTGGATCGCAGGTGCATTTCGTCACTTCTCGTCTGGCTCAACAGTTGCAGCTACAGAAGAAAGAGTCGGAAGTTTCCGTTTCTGATCTAGGCGACTCGTGTGCCATATCCGAAGGATGCTGCGTCGATATCCAACTGGAATCACACGCGTTCAACTATGCCGCGACCATTACGGCACTTATTGCTCCAACCATTACGGGTAACCAACCCAACGGTATCCACGACATTAATCGCTGGAACATGCCCTCCAACATACCTCTGGCCGATCAGAAGTTTCACCAGCCCCAGCCAGTTGATATTCTGATTGGAGCGGCTCTGTTCTTCGAGCTTCTATGCCCTGGCAATATCAAGTTGGGAACTGGACTGCCACGTCTTCAGGAGACCAGACTGGGATGGATAGTTGCAGGAGAGGTTTCTCCGTCTCTCAAGGCAGCTCCACTTTCTGCTTCTCTATTTTCAGGTAGCTCATCTGAAGTGGCCCCTCGCTCGATCCAGCATAGGGTCAGAAATAAAGTCCGGAGTAGCGGTACTGAAGACGGAGCTGAAGACAACAACAGTGCTGCAAAATAAGGATGTTAAAGACCCGTGCTCTTCAATGGGAGGAGTATGTTCGGCTAAGCGCCGGTCCATGGCAGCACAATGAGCAATGAGACCATATGTAACATCTCTTAAAAGTAACGTCTCTCTTTATTACTGTTTGGTTTGTTATGCTTATGGTCTATCTGGTGCTTTGCTCTCTGTCGGCGTTCGACAGCCGCTGTGGGGGAGGCTCGTCAGAGAAAGCAGAAGAAACTTCAGATTCGATCATCACCGTAGTTAAACGTTTTGCTGTCTGGCACAGTGACCTGCCTGCCACAGAGTTCTAAACTAAACCTTACATAAACCTAACAACTTCAACAGTCTTGAACCGGCCCCCGCGTCTTCAATCGACCCATCGTTAACTCTCGTTATCAAATCCGCACACCTTTCGCTAGTTTTTGGATAAAACATATGTATTAACTTAAGTACAATAAACTGTGAATATATTAACTGAACAATCATCGTCTCTTAAATAATCTGGCAAAACAACGCTACTGAAGAAGCTCTGAACTCCATAACGGCCAGGTCACAGATGTTCTCAGACGGCTAACAGAGTGCCTTGAGAACATTAACAAAAGACACCATTTGCATTTAGTGATACCAATCGCGCTAAATAACCCAGCAGTTTTCACACGAGAACTGCTGCAAAATAGTTCAGATAGCGACGATAGTTCAGAAGGTGAAAAACCTTCAGGTTCAAATATGCCTCAAACAACAATAGAATTTCTTAATACAGCCAGCAAACTCATCCCAGAGTTTGACGGTAGGGCAGAAAACCTACAAAGTTTTCTGGATGCCTTATCTTTGGTTAACACCATCAAAGGTGAACATGACGCCACAGCAGTGTCATTGGTAAAAACCAAACTAAAAGGTGCTGTTAGGAATTTAATTAGTACAGAATGCACACTTGTATCCATTATAAATAGACTTAAAACAAACGTAAAAGGCGAATCAATAGATTCAATAACTGCCAAAATAATGAACATCCGTCAGATGAGTAAGACCGCTAACCAGTACACAAAAGACATTGAGCAATTAACAAAAACTCTTGAATGCGCTTTTATTTCTGACGGAATGACACATGAGCAGGCAGAAAAATATAGTACCCAGCAGGCGGTCAAGGCAATGATTCAAAACTGCACGAATGATAAGGTCAAACTTATCATGCAGGCTGGAACTTTCTCGACCATGAGCGAAGCGGTAGCAAAATTCGTTACCAGTTGCACCGAAGCAACAGGACGAGCAGATACCGTGATGTACTATTCAAATAGGGGGTATCGTGGAAACAGAGGCCGTTTCCAGGGTACCCGAGGTAATAACCAGTTCCGCGGAAACTACAACGGTCGGTACAATAACGGTGGCTATTACCGAAACGGAAATAATCAACAAAATAATAGACGAGGAGGCCACCAAAATGTCCGCGTTGTAGATAGTACAGAAAATGCGGAAAACGCATAAACTCCCCCACAAAAATAAATAGCGCTAAAAAATCCATATTCGTGTTCAATTTACATTTCAATAGTTTTATATCAACAAAAACTTCACTAAACAATGCGGTATCAACGTTTTTGGTAGACACAGGGGCTGATATTTCAATTTTCAAAATTGCCGAAATTACAAATAATATACAAATAAATAATTCAATTACAACGAACCTCAATGGTATAGGGAAAGGAACAATTAATACGCTAGGAATAGTGGAGGCGGACTTGATATGCGGCAATATTTTAATAAAACATACTTTTCATCTTGTCAAAGATGACTTTCCAATCAATTGTACTGGAATTATTGGTTTAGACTTCATTAAAAAATATAATTGCATTCTAGATTACCAAGATAATCAAGATTGGTTAACTTTGAGACCACACGACTTTCACGAAGACATAGCCATTCCTATGCGAAATTCACAAAATATAAATACAATAACAATTCCAGCTAGGTCCGAAGTTGTCCGTTTAATGAAAATATGCTCAGAACACAAAGAAGTTCTCATACCGAACCAGGAAATTCACAAAGGCATCTTCATTGCAAATACAATTACCACAAGCAAACAAGCTTTTGTCCGAATCATCAATACAACTGATAATAATTTCATAGTATCCGATGCAAATATTCAAACGGAAAACCTTGAGGATTATGAACTAATTAACAATAAAAACATAAAAATAAACAAAAATAAAGAAATTATGAAAAAACTTAATACGAATTTTCCGAAATTTATAAAAAAGGAAATGAATACCCTCTGTTCTGAATACGTTGATATATTTGCATTGGAGAGTGAACCAATAACAGTAAACAACTTTTGCAAACAGGAATTAAAACTATTAAACGATGAACCGGTTTACATAAAAAACTATCGAATACCCCATAGCCAAAAAGACGAAATAAATATTCAAATAAAGAAACTTTGCTTTCCGGGGTTTTTTTTTTTTTTTTTTCCCGGGTTTTTTTTTTTTTTTTTTTTTTTTTTTTTTTTTTTTTTTTTTTTTCTTTCTTTTCCCCCCCCCCCCCTTTTTTTTCCCCCTTTTTTTTTTTTTTTTTTTTTTTTTTTTTTTTTTTTTTTTTTTTTTTTTTTTTTTTTTTTTTTTTTTCCCCCCCCCCCCCCCCCCCTTTCCTTTCTTTCTTTTTTTTTTTTTTTTCCCCCCCCCTTATAAAAGATGACATAATAGAGCCCTCAGTATCAGCATACAACAGCCCATTGCTATTAGTACCAAAAAAATCACTACCAGGAAAAACTCAAAAACGATGGAGAATGGTAGTTGATTATAGGGGCATAAATAAAAAACTAATAGCCGATAAGTTCCCACTGCCCAGAATAGATGATATTTTGGACCAGTTGGGAAGATCAAAATATTTCTCCTGTTTAGATTTAACATCTGGTTTCCACCAAATTGAACTAGAGAAAAAGTCAAGAAATGTCACATCTTTTACGGCAGATAACGGAACATATAGATTCAAAAGATTGCCTTACGGCCTCAAAATAGCCCCAAACTCATTCCAAAGAATGATGACCATGGCATTTGCAGGATTATCACCTGCACAGGCATTCCTATACATGGACGACTTGGTCGTATTAGGCTGTTCCGAAGAACACATGTTAAAAAACCTTAGAGATGTGTTCACTATCTGCAGAAAATACAATCTAAAGTTGCACCCAGACAAATGTTTATTTTTTAGTCACGAAGTAACATACTTAGGCCATAAATGCACAGACAAAGGAATATTGCCAGACGACACTAAGTTCACATTAATTCAAAACTACCCAACACCAACATCAGCAGACGAAACAAAAAGGTTTGTTGCATTTTGTAACTACTATAGAAGATTTATTCCAAATTTTGCAGAACAAGCTCGTAATTTAACAAGATTAAGTAGAAAAAATACACCCTTTATATGGACGGAAGAGTGCAATACAGCTTTCAATTTTCTTAAAAATGCTCTTATAAGCCCTCAAATCTTACAATACCCAGATTTCAAAAAATCATTTTGCTTAACAACAGATGCCAGCGGTTTCGCATGTGGAGCAGTACTAAGCCAAGAGTACGATGGTAAGCAATTACCAGTTGCATATGCATCTAAGGCATTCACAAAAGGCGAATCCAATAAATCAACAATAGAAAAAAAATTAGCAGCAACTCACTGGGCTATAACATATTTCAGACCATACCTATACGGTACAAAATTCCTGGTGAAAACAGATCATCGCCCATTAACATACCTATTTTCAATGAAAAACCCGTCGTCTAAGTTAACACGAATGCGATTAGATTTAGAAGAATATGATTTTGTGGTCGAGTACATAGCAGGAAAAGAAAACTATGTAGCGGATGCGCTATCCCGCATAGAAATATCAGATTTGAAAAACTTAACTGCCAAGGCAGCCCAAATACTTAAAGTAACAACACGGTCAGAAGCCGAAAAAGTAAAAACAAAAAACACTCTTAATACGACTGGTAAAGAAAGTCTTAAGGTCCCGAAAATATATGAAGCGCTATATAAAAAAGAAGTAAAACGACATGTCGAGCTCATTCTGACCCTTCCGAATTTACTATTCAAAAAGGGAAAACGAATTTGTAGCCAATTTATAGTGAATGACCTGATTATTAACGAGAAAATTGACTTAGGACAATTCTTCAAGAGGCTTACTTTAGAAGCCGGTAATCTAGGCGTCACTAAATTACAACTGTCCTTAGAAGACAGAATATTTAAATATACCCGGGTAGAAGAATTTAAAGAAATGGGAAATAAAAACCTTACAGACATAACAATTGCGTTAACGCCAAAAACAACATACTTGCAAGACAAAAAATCGATCGATAAAATATTAAAACAATTCCACGACGACCCAATTACTGGAGGCCACCGGGGAGTCAATCGTACAATTACCAAGATTAGAGAAAAATACAACTGGAAAAACATGACAAGGGATATAAAAAAGTATATCAAACATTGTGACAAATTTTTGAAGAACAAAACTCTCAAACACAACAAAGAAGAAATGCAATTAACTGCAACGCCAGCAAAAGCATTCGATACGGTTCAGATCGACACAATAGGACCCCTACCAAGGTCAGAAAATAATAATGAATACGCCGTTACAATTCTATGCGATTTGACTAAATACCTTATTACAATACCGATCCCTAGCAAGCATGCTAAAGTCGTAGCCAGTAGTATCTTTAATAACTTTATTCTTATCTATGGTCCTATGAGGACGCTCATAACGGATATGGGTACAGAATATAAAAACAGCATTTTTTCCGAATTATGCCAGTTATTAAAAATTAAACATAGAACATCAACAGCTCATCACCATCAGACACTCGGTGCAGTAGAACGTACACACCGAACATTCAACGAGTATGTTCGCTCGTACATCTCTAGTGAAAAGAATGATTGGGACGAATGGCTAAAGTACTTTACATATTGCTACAATACAACACCATCAACAGTACATGGGTATTGCCCATTTGAACTGGTTTTTGGTAAAAAACCACAAACGTATGACTTTCTAGAAGAAGGTAAGGTTGGTCCAGTATACAACCATGAAGCATACGATAAGGAAGTAAAATATAGATTACAGATAGCTACGAGTAGATCAAAATTATTATTAGAAAAAGCAAAAACAAAACAAAAAGCATATTATGACAGGAACCTAAATAGCATACAAATAAATATAGGAGATTTAGTATTAGTTAAAAATGACACAGGTCATAAACTAGATAACCAATATAGGGGCCCATATAAGGTAATAGGAATAGACGATAGGAATAACTACATATTAAAGGATAGAAATAAAACCACCAACGTAAACAAAAATAGATTAAAAGTATATAAAGAAAATATAATATAAACAATTGGTTCTTTTTCACCATTTCATGGGCATAGAAAAAACGAGAAGGAACGTGTGAGTCGCTTCTGGGGACGCGACTCTACTTATACCCGTACTCAGTCAGTATATACATTTTTGAGCATGATTTTTTAGAATTTTAGAATTTAAAAAAAAATTTTACATTTAACATTTTTTTGCTACATATGATATCTACATCTACATATACAATGTATATTATACATCTAACATGTAGACTGTACATGTTCCAATTAGATTCTACATCTCCTCCGCTAGGGGTTGCTCGCGCACTGAACGCGGCAGAGTGTGCGAGCGAGAAGGAAAATGAGTTGCGTTGTCTGGGACGGGAGGGGGAGGGGAAGCAACTGAAAATGAATTTCTTCATTCTGGCTATAATTATGATCCGATCTAATTCAGATTCGGCAATCTGGTAGATATGGGCATTTTCTACGATACTGCGTTTTTAGTTTTATCGTATCTTTAAAAATGTGCCTGCCACAGATTTTCGTTCTTTGTGTGGGCGGAAGGGGGCGGGGCGAAATTTTGAAATACACTTGTAGCACTGTGATATCACATAAGTCTGGAAACCAAATTTGGTTGCCCTAGCTCTTATAGTCTCTGAGATCTAGGCGCTCAACAAGACGGACAGACAGACAGACAGACAGACAGACCGACAGACAGACAGACAGACGGACAGACAGACATGGCTATATCGACTCGGCTATTGATGCTGATCAAGAATATATATACTTTATGGGGTCGGAAACGTTTCCTTCTCTGCGTTGCACACATCCACTTTTACCACAAATCTAATATACCCCTTAACTCTTTTTTGAGTACGGGTATAAAAAAAAATGTAATAATAATTATATAAAATTACTTATACATACATATATACTTATACCCTTAAACAGAACTAAACAAAAAACGTACATTAACTTTAAAAAAAAAAAATAAAAAAAAAAAAATAAATAAAAAAAAAAATATTACTTCATACAAATACAATGTACACTTAAAGCAATTTACACCTACACAAATATATTTAAACACACACAAACACACTTTGTAAAACCTTGTAACACCTTAGAATAACTCCATTACTATATTACGTTATTCTTATAAAAAGGGAGGTGTTTCGTCATGTCGTCGTCTTAGTCAATGTTTTATGTTAAGATTATTTTTGAATTGTTTTGAAGTCTAGTGTGAGTAGGTTAGGGCAAGGCGGGAGCGCAATAAAAGCTCGCTCTTTCGCTCAAGGCGAATTCGCCCCGCTTTGCCACCGTAGGTTAGTTAGGCATAGAATGAAGTGTAATGAATTTTTAGAATATAATCGTTGAAATTGAATTCGATCGAGCGCACCTAAATTATTTCGTCCCCGCTTTTAATAAATCTTTACGCCACCCAAGTATTTCGGTTTTGTTTTATTAGAAAAACTATTCTAAATTTTCATGGCGCCCCCGGGTGGACGATAAAGAACAAAAATAAAGGCAACAAATAATAGTGACAGTGACACAGTGATAGCACAACCAGTGTAACAAAAATACGCCAACATTAGTTATAAATAATATAACTAATTAATTCTATATTATAGAATAAAAAGTATTGTATAGTTGCCCGCGTCGTGTGTGTATCAAATAACAAAAGACTTGCCAAATCCATCGTGTCGGCCGCGCAATACCCTCACCCGCTTGCTAATCGTTGCTGCTACCCTGCTGGTTACCTGCCGCTTCACCATCAGACACCGTTGCTGCAACCCAAGAGACCTATGGCCCCTTGTGATTGCACGGACTGCAAGAGGAAAGTGGCAGCTGGACTTAAAGATCCGAACGCAGAGCCTGAGGTATTTGTGCAAAAAATTGAAAGCTAGAGCCGAAGACATACATAAATACATATATAAATTGTCTTGTGCTGGAAAAATTGCACCTCGCTTTCAATTCTTGGCACAGCCGTATGATATAGTAGAGTTTGATTTGCATGCATTTAATTTTTTAGTGCACATACATACATATATAACACCATATAACACATATGTACAAAAACCATACCATACTCTATTTGAACCGCTATTTGGACGCACAATTATATATATATCGTTTACCGCAATCACTGTCGCCCCCCCCTTTCCCCTCTCGTTGTGTGAAATTCGCCAAAAAGTTGGTTCGTTAACCCAAGCCGCGGTGTATAACACTTACTTCCATACATACATACATACATACAAGCAGCTGCACCGGTGCATTCTTTTCGTCTCTCGCTTTCGCTTATCCACCGTTGCTTGCTGTGTATTTGGTGGGAGAATTTCGTTGCCGCGCTTGATCAAAACGGAGCGCCAAGTGACGCGCTACCCTGTTTTTCGAGGGTATATTGTTTTTCTTGTCACTTCGCAAGTGACGCGCTACCCCGCATTCTTAGGGTATATTGTTTTGGCTCTCAGTTGGAAAGTGACGCGCTACCCTACATTCTTAGGGTATATTTCTTTCGGCTCTCACTTGGAAAATTACGTGCTACCCTACAGTGTGAGGGTATATCGTTTTGGCTGTCACTTGCAGCCAACTATACACCTCGTGCCTCGACATTCAATTATTGTCGTTCTCGATTTTCGTTCTTGTTTGAACATTTATTATTTCTTTATCTACAAAAATATTGGTTTTCATCGCGTAGATTATAAATAGTAAAATGGCACAAGAAAATAAGTCTGTTCTCGATGACTTAAAAAGTAAGCTCAGAAACC